TATTAAATTAAAATAGACATAGTACGATTAATGTAAACTGTTACAAATATGAATAAAATATTGAAATCTACTACCTAACCATGTTTCTTTGACATTAAGTTGCATAATTTAAACAGTAGGCAGTCTCAAGGTTCTGTATTTACATCCTAAACTTGATCTACYAATCAATGACTATTAGATACAGGTAGATTTAAAAAAAGTATCACAAATTAACATCTGMCTCGCATCTGCAATCTAAAAGCTGTTAATATTCAGCTATTATTTTCTAAGTATAATCCTCTGTCAATTTTCCTCATAATTAACTATAAGTCATATTTATTTTAACTTACAACAAAACATTAACCACCCAATATGTTAATATTATAAGTAGTGATGGGAATAATTGAGATATCTTGATTATGAAAACAATCTAGATATTTCGATATAAATATTAGAATAATTTCRATTATGAGTAAAGTAACCGAGAATCGAATTTTGAAATGTTTTAAATAATTAGTTAATTATTAATTATAATTTTAGTGTTTCTTTTCAAATATATAAAAAAGAATAATAGAGTTTTTTCATGATAAGAATTTACATGATTAGAGATTTAGACCAACAGATTAATTAAAAATTTAGATAACAATAATTTAATAAAACAATAAAAACTTGTCTCTTATTTAAAGCGCCTATTAATAATGCAAATGCTTTATTAATATACTCTGGTTATTATTATTCTTAAATTATAGTTTAATTTTTAGCTAATATTATACCACAAATAAAAAAAGCAAAATTTAGCTAATAATTATTTACTATAAGTTGATTCATATTTCAAGTAATTTTTCTATTCTCTTGACCAGTTATATAAGTTTATTATTCTTATTATATGAAAAAACAATTTTAATTACGATTGATTTTTAAAAAGATTTTGCTTGATTATGAAAATGTCTCAAATACTAATCATTTGATTATGCCTATTATAAGTGACTGATTTTTATCTATCAGTGTTTAAGTATATAAAATAATTATTCCATATACAATAGTTTACATAAAATACAAAATTTACCTTTATAATCTACTATAGTACTATACATTTTCATTATAGTTTAAAGAGGTGGTAGCTAAACAGTTTAATGCACAACCATCACAATTGTGTTTGATATTTGCTGGTAAAATTATGAAAGATCAAGATACATTAGCTACTCATAATATTAAAGATGGATTAACAGTACATTTAGTTATCAAGACTAATGCGCCTCAAAATAATACAACAACTTCTTCATCTACAAATACAGGATCAGCTCAACCACCAAGACCTCCTGGTGATTAAAATAAATAATTATTTTTAATTCTTGTTCATATTTTAACTATATCAAAAACTTTCAGCTGATATTAATGCTTCCCCGTTTAACTTGGGTATGCTGGGTGGCTTACCTGGTATGGAATCCATGGGATTCACTTCGGCTAATTTCATGGAGTTGCAACAGCGTATGCAGCGTGAATTGCTTGACAATCCTGATATGCTAAGGAATTTGGTTGATAGTCCGATGGTTCAACAAATGATGAGTGATCCTGCACATATGAGACAATTGATTTTGGCCAATCCACAAATGCAACAATTAGTTGAAGTACTTAGWTCAATTCATAAACATCTTTTATATTTTCATTTTAGATTCTAAGCGGAGCGATGAATGTATTGATTTTAAACTTTAGTGGATTTTCTGGTTGGAAAGTAAATCTAGTTGGTACATTGAAATTTCTAATAGTTTTCAAAAGCACAGGAAAAAAAATTATGGAAACCAAGAATTTTCACTCAAAATAATTTTTCAGAAAATCGAATTTTTATATYGGCGTTACTCTAAAACAAATTACTGTAAACACATGAAATGTTGATTGAATGTTAATACT